CCCACGCCGAACAATAATTACAACATTGCTTATCCAATACAAATAATAGAAAAAGTGGCTATTAAAAGAAGACTTCGGAAACAATGGCAACTCACAAGATCACCGATGGACAAATCAAAATTAAACAAAGCTTGCAAAGAGCTCAAAACCTTCCTTCGAGAACACAACAATAAGATCTTTGAAACTAAACTAAAAAATCTATCAGCTACTTCAGACACAAACTACTCACTCTGGAAAGTCACCAAAAATTTTAAACAACCAATTATTCCTATTCCAGCTATTAAAGAAGGAAACAACACATGGGTCAGAAATGAACAGGAAAATTTTCGAACAAATTTTTCACCCTCTGCCACAGCAATGCAGTACCCAAGAAGAAGAGTTTATTCACAATTATCTAAAAGATTCTTCAACATACAACGACCATTCAGACACCCGCTTTTCTCTTTCTGAAGTAGAACTTGAAATAACGAAGTCAAAATCAGGCAAAGCCCCTGGGCATGATCAAATCACGATACATATGCTGAAGCAATTCCCACAAAAAACCTTGAGATTTTTAACCATTCTGTTCAACTCCATTATCAGACTAAAAGTATTTCCGTGTTCCTGGAAAATTGCAAAAATAATTCTAATACCAAAACCTGGCAAAGATCCCACTCTGATGGAATCCTACAGGCCAATTAGCTTACTACCAATCTTGTCTAAAATTTTTGAAAAATTACTGCTTAAGAAGATTCATGCAATTTTGAGTAACAAGAACACAATTCCGCAATATCAATTTGGCTTCAGGAAACTCCACTCGACAATCGAACAAACTCACAGAGTAGTCCAGGAAATTAACTCATCTTTACAAGAAAAAAAATATTGCTCAGCCGCATTTCTAGATGTCTCACAGACTTTTGATAAGGTGTGGCACATCGGTCTCCTCTACAAGATAAAAACAAACCTTCCAGCTAATTTATACCAACTACTACAATCATACCTGGTGAACCGACAGTTTTTTATTAATATATCACATTGCAACTCTCCTTTGAAGCAAATAAACTCAGGCGTACCACAGAGAAGCGTTTTGGGTCCCACATTATTTTATTATTTACCTCAGACATGCCTACCATAGCTGACACCAACATCGCCACTTTTGCAGATGTTATCTGCATTCTATCGAAACACGAATGCCCTACAGCTGCGTCTAACGCCCTGCAACAGCATTTAAATTTAGTAGAAATGTGGCACAAATTTTGATGACTTGAAATTAACAATCGAAAATCATCACACATCACCTTCGCGTTAAGAATGGAAACATGTCCGCGCCCGTCTCTATCAATGGGGTTCAGCTACCTCAGGTTGAACATGTAAAATACCTGGGGTTTCACTTGGACAGAAGGCTTACGTGGAAAAATCATATAATGAAAAAACGTTTCCAGCTTGAAGAGAATTTTAAAAAACTTTACTGGCTGTTGGGTCCGAAGTCCAAACTATCCACTTACAATAAGCTTCTTGTATACAAAGTCGTCTTATAACCAATCTGGACTTACCGCATTTCACTCTGGGGTAGTGCCAGTCGATCTAATATAAACATCTTACAGAGAGCTCAAAACAAGATCCTCAAAAAAATACTGGAGGCTCCCAGGTATGTACCTAATTGGCTTGTTCATCAGGACTGCAACATACAAACAATAGCGGAAGAAATTAGTAGATTTGCTGCGAAATATAAGATTGGAGAACCATCCAAATGAACTAGCAAAGGACCTACTTTCTGCGAACACTGTCAAGAGACTAAGAAGATTAGATCCATTAGACTTAGTATAGTTATATATTTAGTTTAGTGCTTGTAATTATTCTCACATATTTATATTTATTATCTGCTTGCAATTATTGTCACAGTTTTATATTTATTATACTAACTTGAAATACTACCAATGGGTAGTATTTTAAAAACTTATTTAATAACTAATCACAACAATTACTGAATGCCTTCTCAGGCAGTTGTAGTTTAGATGAAAATAAAAAAAAAGTCTGAAATGGGTTCAGGCGTTTTTGAGAAAACGTCGATCAAAGGTCTAATTTTGACAAATGCAAAAAAAACGATACTAATTTTTGCAAACTTTGACGAATTTTTAAAATCAAACGACTTGTCGCAGGGCCGTAATATTTTAGTATGATCTATGAGACTATGTTATCTACGGTCAAAAAAAAATCATAAAATTTTTTTTTTAACACTTCATTACAAGAAAACGGCCCGGCCGATCTTTACCAAAAACTAATCACCACGATTCCCAATCAATATCTTTCGAACGGTTTTTGAATAATCAGAATTGCGGGCTAAAACGTGGACGAATTTTTTTTTATTTTTCTGCTATTTATAAAGAAACGGCTTGGCCGATCGTCGCATAAAACTGACAATCAATAGTCTTCATGGAGATACATCGAATGGCTTTTAAATTTTTGAAATTGGTCCAGCCGTTTTTGAGAAAACGTCGATTTACTTTTTTCAAATTTGGTCTCATTCGATTCAGAATGGCTTGAAATATCGAGAAAACATAAAATTAGCGAATCGGATTTTTTTTATGAAAACATAAACTTCTCCTTCGGGAAGTTAAATATATATACAAAAATATTTGAAAACAAATCTCATCTCTTTCGATGATGACAAGGATGGATAGTTTTATAATGTAAACTAGTGGGGTGTATGGCATCGTGCCTTAAGGTATATTGGAACTTTCCGTACCGTAATTAAACATTCGAAGAATAAAAATAATCAGTCAACAAAAATGTCTATGAATAAATTTTATAAAAACTAGAATTTTCATTATTTGTTCTTTGTAGACAAAATGAGAAAACTTATTAGATTAGACGACGTTGTTTATATATATATATATATATATATATATATATATATATATATATATATATATATATATATATAAATAATTAACAATTAATCGTTTATTGTTAGAATGAACATATTTTATTTCAAATGCATCAATTTTTCGAAATATTTGCTCTGAGTTAACAATTTTAAATAGTTCCAGTAGTATCAACTATACAAACATAAAAAGTATTAAAAAAAATTACAGACATGGGATTAGAACCCGATCAGTTTTGACTTTCTTATCTACTAACGCGAACGAAAATTGTACTGACGCGCCAACCAACTCAGCTATATCGACATGCTCACGCACAACGCTATGAGCGGATGTCTAGGATCTAATCGAAATTTCTGCACTTTTTGCTCTGTATCTTCGAAACGGCTGGACCTGGCTATACGAAAAACTAATCAGTACGCCTCCACATCAATACGATTCCAATGTTATTTGAATGATCGAAATCGGCCGATTTGTTCTCTCAGACCTGCCATTTTTTGTACTTTTTGCTCCGTATCTTCGAAACGGGTACACCTACCTTCGTCAAAGATTAATCAGCACGTCTCCTTATCAATACGAATCGAATTTTGAATTATTCAAATAGGTTCATCGGTGTTCCCGAAATCGTCGACGAAAATTTGTATCCGTACACGCACACACACACATATATACATACATCCATTTTCTCTAAGGTATGCCAAAATATTCAGAAACCATAAAGAGTTATAAAAATGTTCATTTTCGATTTTTTTGCGATTACTATAACTTACCTAACTACGGGAAGTTAACTAGTTGGTTTGGTATTTAGCCTTAAGGCAAGTTACATGAACTTCCAGATATGTGTGATTAATCGACTTAATCAATAAAAAATAAATTAATTTATGAGTCATTATAAGTATTCCGAGTGGATTTATTACACATAATTGAAAACGAACGAACACGTTAACTCGGAGTATTTTCTAAAAGCAAATTTTCACAAACCAATAATTTTTATAATTGAACCAGTTTTCGTAAGACGTTAATGGTTTAGTATGTTCATTAAGACCAAGTAATCTATCGTTATACCAAGTAAATCATCTAATTTTAATTTTAACAAACGTCAACAAAACTACTCATTTTCTCAACCTTTGACGAATTTTTAAAATTAAACTACTTGTCGTAAGGCCGTGATATTTCAGTAAGTTCTATAAGACCATGATATATATCGCCAAAAAAAGTTCGATAAAAATCGGCTTAATTTTTTTTTCAACAGTTAATTACAAGAAAACGGCTCGGTAGATTTTCATCTAAAACTAATCAGTTTCATTCTCAACTAATAACTTTCGAACAGTTTTTGATTTTTTAAAATCGGTTCGGTAGGATGAGCTTAAATGTGGACGAAATGTTTAACACTTTATTTCAAATTACAAAGAAACGGCTTGGCAGATCGTCGCACAAAACTGACAAACGATAGTCCTCATCGAAATACATCAAATGACTTTTAAATTTCTGAAATCGGTTCAGGCGTTTTTGAGAAAACGTCGATGAAAGGTCTAATGTTGACAAATGCCAAAATGCCAAATGCCAAAAAAACTATACCAATTTTTGCAAATTTTGACGAATTTTTAAAGTTAAACCAATTGTCGTAGGGCCGTAATATTTTAGTATGATCTAGAAGACTATAGTATCTACCGTCAAAAAAATAATAATAAAAATTGTCGAAATTTTTTTTTAACACTTTATTACAAGAAAACGGCCAGTCCGATCTTTACCAAAAACTAATCAGCACGATTCCCAATCAATACCTTTCGAACGGCTTTTGAATTTTCATAATCGGTTCAGAATTGCGGGCTAAAACGTGCACGAAATTTTTTTCACTTTTCTGCTATTTATAAAGAAACGTCTCGGCCGATCGTCCCACAAACGATAGTCCTCGTCGAGATACATCGAATGGCTTTTAAATTTTTGAAATCGGCCCAGCCGTTTTCGAGGAAACGTCGATTTACGGCAAAAAATCTGTTCACACACACACACACACACATACTTTTTTTCAAATTTGGTCTCATTCATAAGAAAGAAAATTCAGAAACATAAACTTCTCCTTCGGGAAGTTAAAAATGTAATTATCGATGGTGCGATTTAAAATATTTATGTTTTCAGTGTCGTTCAGTGCAAGCAAACAGGAACTTTCCTCTGTGATAAACTTTGTGAGAAGCTACTGAATTGCCAACTACATCACTGTCAGGATTTGTGTCATGAAGAGGAATGTAAGAAATGTGAAGATATAATTTTACAAGGTGTGAATACAATTATTATAAATTGAGCGCATTTTTTACATTTAGTCAACGTTTATTTGAAAATTTAACACGGTTTTAACTTAAGACAAAATATTATAGACATTCAAACTACACTAATTTAATGAATATTACATGTATATGTTCATAGATTTTTAAGCGCAGTTTCCAATATATAAAATTGTCAAAT